GTTATAAACACTCTAAAGCCTAGAAAGACAAAGAGAAATAAATATGGTCCTTGCCTTATGGAATACACTGTCCACTGGAGAAGTAGTATCATTATAGATGCTGTAAGGCAGGATTATCACTGAATTGTATATGTTCTTTTTCTTTGAACACAGTGCAAGTGACTAAAATTCTGCCCAGGAACTAGGGTTACGTGAGCACAGGGTAGGAAGTGTCTTGGAGTTGGGTCTTTAACACAGTGAACTAGAGAGAAAATGAATGGACAGTAACAAACATTCCAGGCTATGGAAACGGTCAATTTCACCTTAAATATCAATACTTTTTCTTCTGATGTCTCTAGTATAAGAATGACTCCTGCTTCAGGTTGTTCAAAAGCTTCTGGTAAAAGTCTTAATGCCCACAGGCTTTTTCAGTCTTATACTACAGCCCTACTGTAAAGAAGTGGATTTGCAGCCTGGTGTGATAGTCCATACCTACAATCCCAGCACTCAAGAAGCTGAGGCATGAGGATCTGGATTTCAGGGCTAGTACAGACTACATGAGTTCAAAGGCTGGACTGGACTACATATATATAGGAAAACCCTATTTTTTTTTTTTTTAATTTTTTTGGCGGAACAGGGGATTGAACTCAGGCCCTTGAGCTTGCCAGGCAAGCGCTTATTCTACTGTGCTATCTCCCCAACCCCTACAAAACCCTATGTTAAAAAAAAAGGAAAAAAGGAAGGAAGGAAAGAAAAAGAAGCCTTAGTAAACTACTGAACTGAATAACCAATAAAATACAAAAAAAACCTAAATGCTGTCACCAAAAACAATAATAAACCATAAAAGCAGAGGGTGCAACTAGGCATGGTGGCTCACACCTATGACCCTAGAATTCTGGAGGCTGGGGCAGGATTGCTGTGAGTTTAAGGCCAGCCTGGGTTATGTAGCAACTTGAAGGTCAGCCTGAACTACAAAATGAGACCCTGTCTTAAATTTAAAAAAATTAAAAAAAAAAAAAGCATAGAGAGAAAAGCTTAACAAAATAAAGATAATTTTAAATAACTGCATACATAAGAAAAAATGTGAAAAGTATGTAGTCTATTTTTTAAAGACAATAATTTTTTTTAAAAGACAGTAAATTTCAAAACAAGATGATAGGAATTCAACAATGGCTGCTGCTATCTCACATATTGTTATCTTCAAAGTAGTTGTTTTGTAAGGATGCAAAATTGGACAAAATAAAAAATAAACATTAACTGTTGCTTTCAATAAACCAATAGAAATTAGTAGTACAATTACTTTAGCTATCGTGTGTGTGTGTGTGTGTGTGTGTGTGTGTACTCCCTCTTCATTTCTTTCTTTTCTCTCATCCTAGTTGTTCTTTCCTTTTCAGCAATCTCTTCTTTCCCTTTCACAATATCTACTGTACCTTTCAGGTTTTATTTACTTTTCCAAGTTTTTATGCTAGGGAGAAAATATAATGTTCACACATGTGGGTCTGACTTATTTCAGCTATGTGTGTGGTCTCTAGTTGCATCCATTTACCTAAAAAATTCTTGAATTTATCTTTCTTTATAACTAAGTAATATTCCAGTGTATAAAAATATCACATTTTTTTTATCCATTCCTCAGTTGATGGGCATTTGGGTTGCTTCCAAGATTTAGGTATGCTATAAACATGGGTGCACATATGTCACTATAGAATGATGTTTTGAATTCTTCTGGGAAAATATCCAGAAGATATTTCTAGGTTGAATGGGACCACCAATCCTAGTTTTCTAGAGAACCTCAACACTGATTTCCACCATAGCTATAACAGTCTACACTCCCACCAACAATGGAGAAGGGTTCCTTTTTCCCTACAGGCTTGCTAGAATTTATTATTGAATGATTTTTTTGATGATAGCCACTCTTCCTGGAGACGGAATCTCAATGTTGTTTCAATTTCCATTTCTTAGATGGCCAATGATGTTGAACACTTTTTCATATGTTTATTTGCCATTTGCATTTCTTCATCTGAGAAGTGTGTATTAATCTCAGATGCCCCTTTTTGGATTGGGTCTTTGAATTTTGGAGGCCTGATTTTTTTTTTTCTTTGTGTGTTCTAGATAGAAGTGCTTTGTTGGAGGGACAGTTGGCTAAAATTTTTTCCCACTTCGTGCGTTTTCTTTTTATTCTGCTGGTAACATCATTTTTGTGCAAAAACTTTAAAAAATATTATTAAACAGCTATATCTTGACTACTGAATCGAATAATTTGGTAAAGTAAAGGAATTATTTATTCATTCGCTAACACCTAAAGGTCAAAACAAGCTGTTATTTCTGAAACATAATAGCCTCTTCCTTCCCCTAGGTTTTTTTTTTTTTTTTTTCTTTAAAGTCTACTTTTACTCTGTGGTTGGCTGGTAATACTTCAAAAAATGAGTTAAACTTAATAGAAAAGGCTATAGCCATTTTATTCAGGAAAAGTTTTAAATTTGCTTTCTAATATGGATTTGGATAAATAGTAATCCAAAAACCTGGCTTAATCCAAGTCTCTTGACCCAAGTTACCTTTATAGTTGAGGAAACTGAGGTTTGTCCTGTCAGATTAGTTGGCAATGATCTAAAGTTCCACCCAGCTCTAAAAGTCTACTCTCTTCAACTCCAAGGAGTTGGCTTCTTTGACAGCCTGAAAATTTTAAAATCTGCTTTGCTTCACACTGCATGGAAGACTCACTCCAATTTTAGGGGGCTTGGGAAGCCAGATAAATGGCCAAATTAGCAAAAAAAAAAAGAAAGAAAGAAAGAAAGAAAGAAAGAAAGAAAGAAAGAAAGAAAAAAAAAAAAAAAAAAAAAGAAAAGAAAGAAAAAAATGGCAGGAAACTTGCTAAATTAGCCTATCTACAATGTCTGTCCCAAGATCAGCAAGAACTTTATGTGGATGCAGTAGTTTTGTCTTCAGTGTGAAAAGAGGAAACAAAAAAGTAAAAGAAAGAAAATACAGCAAGAGCCTAGAAAAAGAAAAAATAATAATGAATGTCTCTCTCACTGCTCTAGCAAAACCACCAGTAGGCCTTCCTAAGAAAGTAGTGGGCCTGCCGAAAATTGTTCTAGAGGTCACAGAACCAATTATCAGTGTCCCAATTCTACTCTCTGGACCTTTCATCTGAAAAAGAGGATGTCACCACCTGCTCAGTAAAGTTGTTATCGGGATTGGGAATAATAAAGGACCTGACCTTGGAAACCATCACATAAATGGTAAACAGGCTCAACTGAAAAACTTATTTGAATCTTTTTACACTTTTCAGTTCATACCATGTAATTCTTTCTAGATACATACTAGAAATACAAGTAAACATAAAATGCTATGACTACTCAAAGAATTCACAGCCTGTATTCTCAGCTGGATACAGTAGCAGATGTCTATAATCCCAACTAGGCTGAGGCTAGAGGATCACAAAATTGAGGTCAACCTGGGCAATCTGTGCAAACCCACTCTCAAAAAATAAAAAGAGCCAGGCATGGTAGTGCGTACCTGTAATGCCAACGTTGTGGAAAGCTGAGGCAGGAGAATAAAAGTTCAAGTCCAGCCTGGCAATGAGCCACCTCCCTGTCTCAAAATTAAAAAGTGGGCAGGGCATGGAGGCGCACACCTGCATGTAATCCCAGGAAGGCTGAGGGATGGTTGCAAATTCCAGACCAGCCTGGGCTACAAAGGGAGCTCAAGGACAGCCAAAACTGCACAACAAAACCCTGTCTGAAAAAGACACACACACACACACACAATACACACCCGCACGCATGTGCACGCAGTGGATGCCCCAGGTTCATTTTCCCATATGACAATAAATAAGTGAACAGGAGTGCGATGGAGCACAACGGTGGGGAGCTTGCCTACCACGACTGAGGGCCAAGGTTCCACTGGCACTGGAGAGAACACAGAAATTCAGTTTCTCCAAATCTAGTGATTGTGCGGGTGTGTGTTAACGGTACTGAACCCAGAGCTTTTCCATGAACTACAGCCCCCTCCCAATTCTTTTATTACCTGGCAAGGTCTCTCAGGCTAATCGTGATTTAGAGGCTAAGCTAAAACTTGGATCTTGAGTGACTGAGGAAAAGGACTAGCTAAAGTGGAAGACATCCCCTACTGAACTATCGGCTACTCAAGAGAAGCACATAATCTTCCAGAAAAAAAAAAAAAAACAAAAAAAACCCTCTGGACATAGGCCTCTCCTACCTGAGAACTAAAAGCAGGTCTGCGATATAATCTATACAGCACAAACTAGTCACAAAAACAAAATTTAAAAAAATAATATTTTCTCTAAGCATGGTGGCACACACCTGTAATCCCAGCACTCTGGGAAAGGAAGACTGGAGAACCACCAGTTCGAGCCCAGCCCCAAGGCAATTTAGTGACTTAGACTTTGTCTCAAAATAAAAAGGGTGTGATGAGACCCTATAGATCCTGTACTAAATACATAAAAATAAATAAATAAAAAGGGGTAGGGATGTGATGTGGTGCGAAGATCCTGGATTCAACTGCCAGTACCACCAAAAAAAATTTTTAACAACACCGTTTAGTTGTGATATTAAAATTAAAGACAAGTGCTTCAGACCAGCGCCTACGAAGTAACCATCTCGAAGTCACACTTTAATAAGGGAGCTGGACCACATGAATGTCAACAGGGACTGTCCCGCAAAAGCTTCCATTGAACTGGAGGGAATTCGAACCCAGAACTTCCCGCCAAGGATCCCGAGAAGCCGCATCGCGCGCCAGGCCAGGCCCCGACCCGACCCGACCCGACCCGACCCGACCCGACCCGACCCGACCCGACGGCGGGCTAGGCACGCGCTCGCGGACGCGGTCGCCGGCCTCTCCTCTCTCCCAGTCTCCACAGGGGTCAGGCGCGGTGGAGGCCGCGGCCGCCGGGTCAGAAAACACTGACAGCTCGCTCCAAGTCCCCACCCCGCAGAGACCCGGCCGCGCCCCCTCCGCTCCCGCCCGGCCCAGGGCGCCCCAGCCCGCGCCGCGAGCCTCACCCGGTCGGAGCTCGAGGCCGCCGTCGCGGCGGCTGCACCACAGCGCGCGCTCGCCCTGCTGCAGGATGTAGTGGTCCTTGGCTTGGAAGAGCTCCATGCCGGCCCCGCGATCCGAGGGAGGCGGCTGCCTCCGGGCCCCGGAGCCTGCAGGCCCTCGGGGCGTCTTCTCAGTCGCAGCCGCCGGAGCCTGCGCCTCCGGGAGTGGCCTGGGACCGACCGCTCCGGGCAGTAGCCGCGGAACACCGCGGGCCCCACCCGCCCGAGTATAACGCGCCCGGGCGGCGGCTGCCTCGGCGGGTGAGGCCTCACCCCCGGCTCCGCCCCTTCCCGTCCCCGCCCCCTTCGGGCTCCGCCCCCGGCTATGGCCCCGCCCCTCACCGGCTCCTCCCCGATCGGCTCCTGGCCCCGCCCTTGGCCCCGCCCCCGGATCCGCCCAATCTCTACCAGCCTTTCTCCTTCCCGCTCCCCGAGTGCCCTTTCGCGTCGCCTTCGCATCGAGCTCCTCCCCCCGGCTGTTCTGGATCCTTCTCCTTCCGCCAGTCCACCCCGCTTCTCCTGACTTGCCTAGGCCCCAACGCCCGCTGGCCAGGGCTGCCTCCCCCCCTCCCCCGGGGCGACCCCGGGCACCGGTGTGGCTGTCAGGCTGGAGTAGCTGGCTGCCTTCCTCCGCAGAGTCTGGGACAGACACCCACGCACGGTGCTCCCTGCCCACGTCGGTGGGTTATTCACGTCCTCTCCTCAAAGTCTGGCTGCGCTCCTGAATCTAGCCAGACACCCACTCCTTTCCCGGGTACATTCCCCAAGATCCTGAGCTCACTCACACAGTGCCTGCGCCGAGCCCTGTGACAGCAGAAGTGGGGCCCACGGGACTAGCTGCGGGCCCCCAGGTCCAGTCCGGCTCTCCGTGGGGCGCTGGTAGCTTCTGTTTGGGCATTTCCTATTTACATTGACAACAACAGTCATTAGCTCCATGCACCTCAACAAAGAGGCGCCTGTAACAATCGAAAAAAACACAAATGTTAGCAGCACGGGGCTAAATAGTAAGAAGGTACAGACGCCGCTATGCCCCAAGTTAGGCAGGATTGGTGTGAGAAGACTTGACACAGAAAATGAAATGGAGGGGATGTTGTTTGACGAGAGTGTAATATGGCCGGGGGTAGGGATGGGGGGGTCCTGAACAGAATGTACTTAGGGAGTAAGATGTCCAGTGCCAAATCCAGCTGCGAGTCTGTCCAGCTGTGGAATCTCAGGAACGTCTTGGTCTCAGCTGGTGGCTGAATTGTAATTACACACCAGGTCCTCTAAATCAATGTCTTTCTACCATCTCCTGCCTTGTAAAGAAATTTAAAAAACACAAAGTATCAGAGATAAGAAAGGGAAAGTAATACTTTTAAGGTACACAAATATAAAGGAAAGCCCCCCCCCAAAAAAAAAGGAGAGGGCCCAAAAGCAGGAATTGCACGTTACTTATTATTCCGGCCCATGCTGATTTCACTGTTGATTTTCCATAGCACAAAATGGACCACGACAACGAGGTCTTGAATACTTTGTCAGTAAGCACTGTACCTGGTAGCCTGCCCAGATGCCTCAAGGTGAGAGTCAAGGGATTACCAGCTAGCAGGTTCTTACTTCTATAATAATGGAAACTCAGGCAATCGGGGTGAATTTACAGCAAAAGCTTTAATTGGAAAGTGAGAGAACACGAAGGGGGGTTTGGGGGAGGGAATGGCTCTGGCAAAGATAAAGCCATATGCCAGACAGAAGAGAGTGAGAAGGGGCACAGGTCTAAAGAGGTGGATCAGGGAGGCTCATTCACAAAAGGTGCCAGTTGTATGGAGTACTGTGGTGGGTACAGGTCTGGTTAATTATTTATCTCAAGTCCTGGTTTTGTAAATCCTGAGCTGATCATTCTGGCTTGAGAAACATGGCTTCAGTTTCCATAAGTTGTTTCTCGTTGGAGCAAACAGTTTTGGGAGGCTGTACTGGAATCTAAGGCAATCCAAAGTCTAGGGGAAAGAAGACTTTTAGGCAGCGCTGAATGTCCATGTAAATCTCTTACCTTAATGTCCTCAGTCTCCAAGGGTGATGAGATAGCTCTGACATATGTAGGCTAATAAGCTTTGTTTTGTCAACTTTTTCTAAATGATTATCACATAGATCCAAAGCTTTAAGATAATAAAAGATACAAAATGAGGATTAAAGCTTTGGCAGTTTTTTTGGTTTTTATTTTTTACTTTTTTAGTTACCTATTGGTCATCTGTAGGGCCAAGTAAAGAGTAACTCATCTTAGCAAAACTGAGGTTAAGTCCCTGATCCCCTCAGAAGAAAACACAAAACCTACTATTCTTAATGAGTAACAGGGTAAGAGCCAAGGAATGTGTCCTCTGTCCCTATAGTGGGCTCTAACTATGTCAAAGAGAATTGTGATTACTATAGCAACTTTCAAGGCTGACCTAGGTTATGTAAGCTAGTTCAAAGTCAGCCTGGGCTCCCTAGTGAGACTGTTTCAACCCCACCCACACCCCACACCCACATACAAATCATCAGTTTCTGACTTATTGTTGATTTCAGCCATATGTTGATTTTTCTTAGTAAAACTGAGTAATGAGAAAGTCCTACGAGAACCGTATGTCCTGCAAATTATTTCGTTACTTTTTAATGAATCACTTTGCCAGATATAAAGCAATGCTGCTTAAATACTGATTAGCTGTAAGAACTTTTCCTAATGTATTAAATCAGTAACTCAACTCTGGCTACCTGTTAAAATCACCTGAGGAATTTTTCAAACATAAAAATGTTTGGACAATGCTTTCCAACACACGCCTGTAATTCCAGCTACCAGGAAGACTGAGGCAGGAGGATTGCAAATTCCAAATCAGCCTGGCAATTGAGATTCTGTCTCAAAATTTAAAAGGGCTGGGATGTAACTCAGTGCTAGAACCCTTGCTTACGAAGGAGGCCCAAGCTTCCATCTCCAGTACTATAAAACAAACAAAAAATAATGCTTGCACTTCAGACCAATTAAACAGTATTTCATGTGGGCAAGACCCTAGCATTGTTTTTTGGTTTTGTTGTTGTTGAGTTTTTTGTTTGTTTGTTTTTCCTGAGAAAAATCTGCTAGGCAGCAGCTGGGGGTGAGGAGGGATGGCAGTCAGTCATTAACTTATATGAAGCTGGTTACCAAAAATCCAGGGTTGAAGTAGAGTCCTTAGGAAAGAGAAATGTGGTCGGAAGATGCTCCCATAATCTGTCTGACCCAAATATATACACAGCTGTCACTCACATTTCAAATGCAAGCTCAGTTTTGAAGTATGTAAAGCCCGAGCCTGACTGAGCAGAGTGAATGAAGAGAGAAAATGTTTTGTTCCAAGCATGGTCACATAGCCATGCTCCTACCACAGTGGCCCAGCCCAGCTCCTGCTTTGGGCTTTTTGAGCCATGTTTCCTTCAGCGTCTCTACTTCCTGGCTGGCCTCCCCAACCTTGGTTGCTAGCTACTTGCCAGCTTCCATCACACTCTTGTAGCTTCTATGACAACGTCTCCCAGTCCCATGGGATTATAGAGGAAAATTTATGTGATGCTGTTCTATTTTTTAAACATTGATCACCATTATACCATTTATCTTCTTTTATATGCATGCTGTGTCTATACTAACATAACTATGTTCCCTAAGGTATTAGGACCCATCCAGTTCTATGTGATCTTGGTCAAGTCACTTAGTCTCTTTTAGTCCCAGTTTTCTTATTAAAAGAGATGATGGGCCAGGGAGTATAACTCTGTGGCAGAGCACTTACAGGGCCTGCTGGAGGATGTAGGTTCAATTACTAGCACACCAAGAAAGGGCAGGGGTGGGGATGAGGACAGGGGCAAGGATCACTAGGGATCTTCCCATTACTGATATCAATCAATGTGCCCACAGTAAATGTGTCCACTCTTGTGATCTGGAGCTATGCAAGGTGAACAATATAGTACAGGACACGTTTTATAATAGTATTTTATAATGAATCACCCAAGAATCATGAACTACAAGTGAAGAAAATCTATCCACACACTAAATACTAAAGAATCCAGCTGAGGGCCTAGAGATCACAACAGTACCTCCTACCAGCCCAGCTGGAGGTCTAGAGCCCACAACAAAGTCTCATGCAGGCCCATTTCATGAATATGTGCTGGAAAGGCCCAAGGATCAGTGGTGGAAGCTAGGAAGTCTATGCCAATGGGATGAAGGATCTGTGCTAGCAAGCTGAGGGATCTGAACTGGAGCTAGGAAGCAATGCTCAAGGTAAGCACCAGAGCTCCCCCGAAAGTACTACAGCCGTCCTCAGTAACAGTGAGGTGCTAAGCTCCTCCAGTGATGAGGAACTCCCAAGTTCTCATCAGGAAAGCCAATGTGACAAGTGTCATGAGGCTGAGCAGTTCACCCTCTTCCCCTCCAGAGCCAGGATTCCGTGCTCAAGATGAGGACTCAAGCTTTTCCAAAGTTCATCGGGAAAGTCAGCATGACAAGGTCCTTGAGCAGAACAACTCAAGAGAACTAGCAGCTTCCATCAGCTTCTGCAAACAGCATTCCAGCAGCTTCTCCTGTTCTGCCTTTATGCTGCTGGCAACAATCCTCAGGTGGGCCATCCACACTCAGCACCATGCTAATTTAATTCAGTTGGGTGTAATAAGCTGATCACCTGTTAGAAATCCACTACACCCACATAGTTAATGCTATATAAATGATCACTATCCCAATTGTTTTGCTTTTATTTTTGAAGTGCTAGGGGTTGAACCCAGTGTTTCATGCATGCCAGACAGTACTACTACTGAGCTACACCTCTTTTTTAAAATTTTTTTTCCATAATTTTATTGAGAAACAAATAGCAATGAGACAATTTCAAACCAAATTGGTAGGAAAGTTTCAATAATTAACACATTGCATACTCTCTTCCTAGTGGTTAACTGCTGTACAAGATACGGACATGATATTCTATTTACAAATACCATTAAAACAAATCCCTCTATTCATTAAGAGAATGTAACTATATATCTAGCCTAACCACTGTGAATACACAGATACAAAATGGACATTCATCTGTATCCCCTTTTTTTGTTAAGTTCTGTTATTTGAATATTATAGGTGTGTCAACTCAGCAAAATATTCCAAAAAAGTCCAGTAGTCCATAATAGTATTGGGTCTTCTGCTTGACTGGCAATGTCAGAAATTGTTGACCTGAGTCCCCTACAGCTCAACATAACAGCATGGCTTTACTTCTTATACTTCATTTTTATGCTTTTCTGCTGGATGGTTAAGACCAA